GCGTGATTTTTTACAGTTTGAGCCACTTGTGTTGCATCATAGCAACCTGGGCTAATAACAATAATTTAAAGCATTTATTTATTTATAACCAATGACAGTCTTTATGATACCTATCAGTAAACCCTTAGTTGACTTCAGACTTCACAGAGGGGAGGGGGAACATCAAAGCGAAAAAAGTAGGTAGGGTGGAACAGAAGAATGATTCAAAGATGTAAAAGAGACAGACATAAAGGTAGAGTGAAAAAGGTGTGGTGAGTACTGTGAAAGGTGTCAAATATGACATACAGTGGAGTGATGATAGTTTGAAGTCATTTGTCCACTGCCGATTAATAGACTTTTTTGCCGTATGAGTATGCCCATTTATGAACTCCATAGATATTAGTTTCAAAAGATAATTTCCACTGAATTGTCCATTCCAAGACAAAATGTAAAATCAAAAGTTAATCTGCTTATACTTAAAGAAAAGGCTGAAGTTATTAATTTACAGGAGATAGTGATAGTGCTTTACTTAACATGATGGGTCACACCAGATCGATCGCATTCTGTTTTAATCACCTTGGAATTTCAATAGCCACCAGCGATTGGTTAAACTTTCCTTAGGTCAGTCACAAACCTTCAACTAGGGCATAACTAGTTTCTAAATGCAATCTTCCTTGAAATATGCCAAGAAAAATGTACTTTGTGTGTGTGTGGTTGTCTCGCTTAAAAGTGAACAAGTACCATGAGCAGATCTCTACCCTGTTTCTGTCAGTGCTCATTAAAACCTAAAGCAAGGCGTTGCCACATTAACGCGACCGTTGGGATAGCATGGGAGAAACTTATGGTCATCACCTACCATGGGGAATGGGGATGAGGAGAAACGTTCCAGGGTCATTGATTTCCCAGAGAGATGGGAAGTAAATTAGAGTTGTGGTTTCAGGAAACCCACAGGATCATTTCCCCGTGCTTGGTCACACACATCACTGAACGTGCACCATTGTCCGGTGGGCGCATTGGTGTCCACCATTGAGCTAGTGAATGCTAGCCACGTGAACACTTACCACATGTCACCGCTATTCCACCGGACAATATCATAAGCACGTTTGTTATTTCCCAATTTAACTTTATGAAATTTTCTTCAATGACTGCTTCAATTTCATGTGCTTGCGACTGCGCTGAATGCACCCACCTGCATTGACTACAGATCAAATCAGATCAGATATATGACCTCATTTCAGTGTTCGGGTTCGAAACATAAAGGTCAACACAGGCGTCAGTTTCGGCTAAAACTTCTTCTACTTCACCTGACTCTCTCTCTCTCTCTGTGTGCATGTGTATGTGTTGGTATGCTTGATTCCACATCTCTTGGTCCTCTGCTTATTTGCTCATAAACACGATATCATATTTCATTCACAAATGATATCGAATGATTGGTTGAAGACCACCCATTTACTACATTTCCAAATTTAATCATAATCGTGTTTGTTCAATTATTGAAGGTATTGTGTGGAGGCTTCCTTTTGAAAATCCCATTAGTTACCCGCTTTCTTTAACTCATTATTTTAACCGGTATCAATCTCATGAGCTCTGATTTAGTGGACGCGTCAAAAACCGCTACGCCAACTGCATACAAGTACCTGGCTGTAGTTTCTTAAATAGCTGGGGAAACTGTCACGGAACAGTTCTGTGCTCTTGAATTTAGACTGTGACCTATTAACATTTTATACATTGACTTCCAGTTCCTCATTCAACCATTCCAGTACGCCGAGAATTCATCATTTCCGTCAACTTTAACTAACCAATGAGTTATCTGATAAGCTAAATTTAAATGACTCGATATAATTTACCTCGAGGGGAGTACGATAGACTTGCCTCGACGTGGTGCACTCCGGGCAACGTATACTCATACACCAAAAAAGTCTATAAACCGGCAGTTGACTTCTGACTTCAAACTACCATCACCCTACGGTATGTCAAATTCGACCACTTCAACAGTACTCACCTCACCTTTTTTCTACCTTTGTGTTTGTCTGCCTATTCTACATCGGTGAATTCCACTTCTGTTCCTCCTCTTGGATTTTTCTCACTTTGATGTTTCTCCCCTTTGTGAAGCCTGAAGTCAACTAAAGGGCTTATGACAACTATCAAAATGCCTGCCATTTGATATAAATATATCTCAATTAGACGGGAGGGGCACTCTATTAGTCGCTACTCGTTTTTCCCCTTAAAATTTTCACGTTAATAGTCAACTAGACAGGAGTTTTGTAAACCAATGCATGGGAAGGTTAATCTTAGTTAGAATAGTTCTCTAATTTTTGTAAATGAGGGTTTACTCATCTAACTCAAGTATCCATTAGAGATAAAGTGGTCTGATCATGATTTCTGGCAGTCAAGTGCATATGGTTTACCATAATAGGAGAGTAAAGGTTTGAAGTGATCATTAAATGGCTTTATTTTCAATTTGCATACACTAATTTGAATAATTTATGTGTGTACTACCAACTAATTACCTTTGATTGAGTCGGAAAGGAATACCCTACTTGAAGTTTATTAAGACCATAGTCATTTTTAATCAATTGATCATAATTTAGGAATATAATTGCAAATTGCCTTTAAAGTTTATACTGATCAAGCGTGAATTAGGTTTGCCTGTCTAATACACATCTACAAGTCATTGCCACATGACAAGGTGTTAGAAACGACAGCTATCGTAGGCCAAACTTAATGTAGAAAAAGAATCGACGAGTTATCATTGGGGAAATTTCCGATGAAGTATGAATCACGCACGGTTGAAAACTTTTAATTTTCACTGAAAATCTTTGTTTGAGAAATCCCTCGGTGGGCACGATGGGTTCCAACAGCGTTAGAAGAGAAAACAAATGATCCAAAAAGCTTCGATTGCTTTACCAACTATGGCATATACGTAAGTAAATGGGGACACAAAAACTGGACCCCCAATTTAGTTCATAAATTAAAGTTCAATCGATGAATGTCATTTAAAGGAAACATCTGAGCGTATCAAGTTCGAAGCTGAAAGGTACGTTAAGAGGGTTATTGTCACTATTTCTTGGCATTTAAAAGAAGTGATAGGAGAGAAAACTAGTCGCTTCATGTCATAATGAAGGGGTTTTGAAGATATTTAAGACAGTCCTCCTCAATAAACAACGACGCTGGGCAATTCACAGTCAAATTTCGTTCCATCGTGGCAATGCCTCTACACATTCCTTAAGAGCTGTTGTGGGAATTTCTATGGGAAACACTTCCATATCCTCCTTATAATCAATACCTATCTCCCTCAGACTTTCTTTGTTTCAAAAACTAAGCGAATATCTTTAAGGCACATGAATTACATCCTTAGATGAAGCGAAGAGTATGCAATTACTAAGGGGTTGAGATAGCCCCAAAATTTCAACATAAGGTATATTTCTTTAATTTCAAGAATCTATGTAGATATGCCTATCTTTAAAAGTTGGGTTAATTCTTACTTTGAAGATACACTACAGTACTCTTGTCGATCTGAGTTACTTCACGTTCATATAAGTGAATGATGTAAGCATATCCGAGTGTAGGGAGAACCGTCGTTCTACTATCATATTCGATCACATTCGGTTTTAATTTTTAAATCAGTGGGGAAAATATAATCACTGTTTATTTAAACAGAGGGATTGAAAACTTTGTTTTGACCATGACTCGGCAGTCCAATCGAACCCTTACATTCATATCTTGTGTCAATATTACTAAATTCGGTAACCTGGGTTAAGCTCGACTTACCTCCACGTGGTGCGCCCTGATTAACGTTTACTAATACGGCAAGTCTATAAACCGGCAGCTGACTACTGACTTCAAGCTGCCATGACCCCACTGTATGTCATATTCCACTACTTTCACAGTACTCACCTCTCCATTTTCTCTACATTTGTATCTGCCCGTCTCTTTTATATCTGTGAAACACTCTCCTGTTCCCACTATTGACTTTGTCACTGATGTTCCTCTCCTCTCAACTGAGGCAAATGACTTCCTCGTTATTTTCTAGGGTTCTGTAGTCAAAACACTATCTCGAAATCAGCCTCAAATGCATAAAAATAGCTACCTATTAGCACACTAGTGTTAACAGCCTGCAATTTTCGTTAGAAAAATGAACTTTCGCAATCAGCTTTTCCAAATAGGTTTGTTGCGGCAAATCATTAAACTCCACGGTCATGGACGAGCAGATTGCCCCTCAAAATAAGACCCCAAATGAACAAAAACACCAAATACAAGTATAAAAATTTGTCTGAATATTTTACCATAAATTCACATTCAAGCACCAGCGTTCCCCATCAAAAGTTCACAATATAACAATAGGGAGGGAATAGTAGATAAAAGGGGATATCAGAAAGGAGAAAACTGTGTAAACCAACAATTTACAAATTTCTCTTCCCATCTAAATACAATACTTCAAAAATCCTCGTCGAGTAATAAAATCCACCAAATACATACTCGAAGTAATATACATAGTAGGAGCGGTGAAGTAGACGGTCCCTCTCCAATTAACTCCTAAGAGAATACGATGGTGACATCCAATCTGCAGCTGCAGATGGAGGTTCAATAACCTCATTTGATACAAATGGCTGCTGTTGAGAGATACCAGAGGGCAGAGGTATAGGCTGCATAATCGATTGGGCCGCTTGAGTAGGAGTAGGCACGGATTGAGTAGGGATCTGGTGGAATTGTGCATGATCCATCATCATATATTGAGGTGCAGGACCTGGACATGGTGCGGGGATATAGGTATTGGGAGGAGGAGCAAACATCTGTGGGTACATCATAACCGGTTGGGGTTGTTGATGTAATGGATGCTGATTTAAAGGCACCGATTGTGGATTCTGGAAATCAGGTGTTGCTGTACAACAAGGAACTACCTGGATACCTGGAGTTGGGTTGAATAATGTTTGTGGGGGTTGAAGTTCATAGGGCGGCAAGGCATAGAAAGGGTGTTGAAAAGGTTCAGGGTGCTGAAAGAAGGTAAAATCGCCTGGAACTGGCATCCAGACTATATCCGGAGGCTGATACATTGTCGGCCTCGTCGTCAGTGTTGATTGGACAGGCGTTATAGGCTGGTCACAAGCTACACTTCTTTCAGCTGAAAGAGGGGGTGGAAACAATGGTGAAGGGGGTCGGTTTGAAGGTGGAGGTACCGATCCAGTTCCATTTTGTTGCGGAAACGCGAAAGGAGGGGAAGTAGAAGAAACAGAGTCGGAATTTGGAGTTGCTGAATATACAAGGCATACTGATACGTCGGGATGATGCAAGAGCTTTGGTTTAGTGGTAATAATGGGTTCAAGGGAAATTTGAAGCGGATCTGTGGGTAAGGGAGTGCAAATTTCCTCCACTATAGATGTCTCCCGGGTGGTGGCGAACTGGATGGATTGAAATTGAGGTAGAGGTGAACGAGGTTGATTCTGGAGATGAGCAGGAATTTTAAATCCACGATGTCGGGAGAATGTTGTGTGCCGCCTTCGAGCACCCAGAGCCATTTTACCTTCATCTCCTTGATTCATTGGATCGGTTGAATCACTGTCTTCACTCGGAGCATACATTGGACTTGTTCGGGGAGTATCTTCGCTTCCTCGAAGTCGCGCTAATCGATATAAATGAAAAAAAATAAAAAAACAGTAAGATTTTACGAAGAGAGTAGACAAGTTTTGCGTTTTTTGGTAGCAACCAGTGTTAGATATTCCCTGAATCAGCTAAAGGCCTTCCCATAGTCCTGCAAAATTCATCTTTTCTTTTTAAATCGATGCAATTCTACACTCTAATATATTAAAAGCAGACAGCAGACGTATTAGTATTTGATTAGTAATTTATATCGAATATCTCGATTGCGTGGGTTACCAGTATAGACTTAGACTAGCAGAAATTTCTTATTCCCAATAACTGCTTAGAAAATGAGAGACATCAAGTCTAAAATATGTTGTAACAACGTTCACACTTACTAAGGACATCTGGAGGAACATTAACTACGGGGAATGGTTGAGGTGCATTAGTGAGGTTCTCTGCAGAGGTAGAAGTCTTTTGAAGTGTCTGGTCTTCAGAGCATGATAGATTCTCCATGTCTGGCTCGGATCTTGAACGAGACTAAAAGATTAAAGGATAGAGTAAATGAAGGAAAAACTCCAAAACCATCCACTCAAACGCGGTGAATCTAAAGGTGAGAAATCGAACAGAGCAGCTGAACAATCGGGAAGATGATAAAAAAATACCAAAAGCAATAAGCAAGTGTGTTGAGAAAGAAACAAAGCACATCAGAAAGCAAATGTTCAAAAATTGCCTGCGCTTGAAGATTCATAGTTAGGAAACTATGCAGATTTCTCCGTTGATACCTTTATAAATGAATCATCAAAATGGCTCATAATGATTACCAAAAATTTATTATATTTTCCTTCAAAATGCTCGGCATTTATTACAAGTGCAGTTAGAATAAATTTAGAGCGCATTCACAAAAAAAGACGAAAAAGTAAAGAATCATTTTCACTTCTGTATTCAGAAGTTATTCACCAGTGACGACTTTCAAGGTCTAAGTTATTATTTCAATCATTATCAAATGCTTCGATCTTATCACTATTGCTTACTTCGGAGCCTACGATGCACAACAGACTTACCTCAACTTGTAACACCCTGGGCAATGTATTCTCATACAGCAAAAAAGTCTACGAACCGGCAATTCGCTTCTATCTTCTAACAACCATGACCCCCCACTGTATGTCACATTCCACCACTTCCACAGTACTCACCTCTCCTTTCCACCTTTGTGTCTGCCTCTTTTACACCTGTGAATCCCTCTTCCGTTCCCCCTCCTCTGGGCTTTTTGTCATTTTGATGTTCCTCCCCTGAGTGAAGTCTGAAGCCAACTAAACGACTAATGATAAGTATCATAAAGCCCGCCATTCCATACAAATGAATATTTCGATGGGTTAGGCCAAATTCCTGTTAAGAAACAAAGAACAACTGGAAAAACTGTCAATTGTTAACCCAATCGTTCTCATGCCTTTAAACCTCTCTTCTCAACTGAGTAACAACTTTCCTTATCAAATTCAACCATATCTCAAATACTTAAGCAACTTCATGCCAAATGAAATCCACACAATTTGAATCGAAGCATTACACTTAACCTTGAATGAACTGCAATGTTAAAAATATCACTGATAGTCTCATCTGCCTATACTTAGCTGCTAAAAGGTGCAGAATAGCCAAACACGAACTCAAATCAGCCGGTCAGCAGGAGTTGCATGTTATGGATGTGATCATATATCTGAACCTGGGTGACAGATAATAAAGATTAAATCATATCAATATCCCAAGTCTAAAGTGGAGATTTATGACAATTCTTACGCATTAATAACTCTAGGGAAGTATACAAGAAACACTTCGATTTTAATAGCTTGACTTACAGTAAACTGAGAACCAACATGTTCGTGTGACGAAATAATATTTGAGACAAAGACATTAGATGATGTGGTCCCATTCTGATCTATACAAATCGGAGGAGAGATTGAGGTAGAATGTCTCGCCGTCTCAATCGGAGAAGTTTCCATCGTTGCAGAATTGCTGATCCCACCACCGTTGTGGCAGACAGTCTGATCAAAAATGGAAAAAATAGTAAATTCACGACTACTTAAAATCAATTAGGTGGTATACAAGTAGTGGATTTTCATTAAACACCTGCTCATATTCGGATTCTCCGTTGCACTTGATTACAAAATTCCTTATGTCCATACACTTCAATGCGCCTGCCGTAACGGTTGAACGTCGTCTGAGATGGAGTCTTGAGTGAGATTTATTTCCTAGGGAATAACGGCCTCCACCACCACGTGATGGCATCCGATTCGTTGTACCGGTTTCACCCTTCTCACCTGTTGTGGAAGTTACCCTAGATTTGGAAGTTGTGCAAGTGGTTGAGGGAATGTTGATATTTGCGGAAGAGGAATTGTTTAATACAGAACCCGGACCTCCTTTAAAAAAGGTAGACAAAAACTGTCGGTTAAGTGAGCCAAGAATACTAATGAATTGAAAACAACTTGATAGATAAATTTACAAACAACTATAGATAAGTCCGTTGAAGGAAATGGTAGACCGGATCGCAACTTAAAAAGAAGAGCAACACCATGGAGCGACTTCAATGAAAAATTCGCATAGTACTACTACATTCTTAGCCACCTTTAGCCAATTAGAAAAGAAATATTAAAAAATTGTCAGTCGCAAAAAAATGTCTACTACCTATTATAAATTGAGATCAAGGCCACTGTTGGCAATGTACGTTAAAATTTCCCAGAACCTAGAGCAGTGGGAATTGAAATCGCGTGCTCGAATGTAACAGAATGTGATAGGCAAGGAAATCAATGAATAACAATAGACCTCATAATACTGTGAACCCCCCGGTCGACATGGCATAAGATTGCAATACCAGAAAACCATTCGAACGCTATTTCAGCCCGTATTGAAAGACCAAACTAGGCTTTCTGACTCACTTAATTGCAAATTATAAAGGTTCCTTATTCAAAATTGGTTTAAGCTCCATATTAGAAAATTACTGGTGGACCCCAAAGTTACCTGAGGGAGAATCAGGTGGCTTCTGTTGATTAAAAAGCATCCCGTCTTTCTTGCAAGGATACTGGGGGAGTGGAAGTTCTTTATTCAATGCCGCCGGTGCAGTCTCTTCCTCAGTAGAAAGAATATTCAAAGGAGTAGGTTCCATCATGTCGAAAGAGGTTGGGAGTGGGAATGATTCCAACAATGTGGACGAAGAATTCGACGGATGTTGTAGGAAGCCAAGTCTCGATGTTGGTGGAAAGGTCCCCGCGTCAGGAGCTGAAGAATTGGAAATCTGACGAGTAGCATTCTTCGATGGTCTTCCACGACGCCTTTTGGTTGGAGGTGGGGATGTGACTATGGAAATGGTGCGTGATCTTAAGGGAGAAGTCACAGGACGAGGCAGTTGTCTCCTTGGGGATTTTGGACTGCTCTGTCGGGGAGAGTGGCCAGGAGAAGCGAGGCAGCTTGAATGGGCACTGATCTCTTCCACCAAGGACGGTTTAATACACTAAAAAAGTACATTGATTCAAATGCTACTTAACACACATCAGTAAAACGTATTTCATCTAAGGATAATTGAGAGCGTAGAAGCAGAGTTAGTCTAGCTTACTTACGTAGAAAAACGCCTAAAATAAAGAGATTTGATAAATAACAAAGACTGGCAGAGACTGTGAAGATGTAATGCAAAACAACTATCCTAACCCTTGACTGCACACCAAAAACTTATTCGACTATTGTACATTAAACTACTCCAATGTTAAGGTCAACTGTTAAAAGAGCAAAGAACTACTTGGGAACCAAAATGGGCTACGAATAACAAAATAGCAACCTAAAGAGGTTGAGCATGAAGTTCAACGATTACTAGATTGATACTTCTAAAATTTGAACTAACAGCCTTTAGTCATCATAGTGCTAGGGAAAAAATAAAATACAGATGTGAGGATTAATTTAATGCATAGGTGAAAAACGCAATTCATTGCAAAGAAAAGAAACAGTTCTTGTAATTCTATCAAGGCGACGAACATACCTTGGTATCTGTGGTGAGTGGGGACCAGCGCAAGCAATCGATTTTTAGCTTGATCCAATTTTTTGACCGCTCATCATACTTAGATTTGAGTTTGGAGAGTTTTTCAGCATCGAAAAAGAGAGTTGGTCTGAAATGAAGTAAAGCGAACACATTCAATCAAATATTTGAAATAGAAATTCGCTAAAATTAACTAATTATTAGGGTTAAAACAAAAGTGAAGGATAAGTGAAGAAACAATCATCTTTGGTGGAGCTGGTAAGATGGAAAACTTGCATTTGTCACTCTGGCTTATGAGAGAGATTAATCAATAAGGAAAATCCCACCAATCAAAGGAGAAGCAGCAATGATAATCTCCTACCAGGCAAACATCCATCTTGACCAACAAACCATCAGCACCCGATAAGCTGTGATCGTACACCTCCAACAAACTATCTCATACAAATTTTACAATTTAAGATTGAAGTTAAAAAGGTCACTTGAATAGAGATAAGATGTCCTCGAAAACTTACCTTGTTGATGGCTGACAGGTGCGATTTACCTCCCCCACAATGCATCGATGACTAGGAAACTAGCGACACATACAAACTTGACGTATAGAAATCTTTCAAAAATTGACCTTGCTCCTAATTTTACCTGTGCATATCCCTTGCAAATCCCACATTTGTTGTAATAAACGATACAAACAACTCGAGGTGGCTTGACTAAAACTGAAAATTAACCAATTCTGGAATACTGTAGGCATAATCTTATCCATCATCAGACATCCCAAAAATGAAATCTTTCGCCTGTGAGCCATTAATTCAAATTAAGCATGACTTTATTACGCATTTGTTTGTAATCATCTAACCATTTCGTTGGTAATTTGAGACATATTCGGCATTTCGCCTAACTAGACGATTTGATGGGGCTAAAACTCGAAATTTTTCTAGGAGCAACAGAAAAAGGTATACGAATTTAATTACAATCAAACGACTAACCTTCCATTCTCTGGATGTAATCGAGTCCCCGACGCGAGTTGTTCCAGAGTCGTCGTAACATCGTTTACATCAATTCCAGTTTTAGTGGAAATCTCCTGAACTGATATGTCTGCTCGTAATTCTCCCTGAGGGAATATGAGAGGAATGATTGTAGACTTCCAGTAGGACTCATAGGAAAGACGACCTAAATCAGAGAGAGGTTTTTCGGGAGAACCTGAGACACCCTCAATTCGAGAGAGGAGAAAGCCTAGGAAGAGGAAAATTATGAAGCAAAATGAGATTTGGTGCAAACAAATTGTGGGTTTATGAGAGTAAAAAATAATAATAAATAAAACTGTCACTTGACACTCAAATTACCAAATCACCTTATGTGAAATATAAGCTCGTTAAATTTTAGCCAATCAAAAAAATACTCCAATAAGCAAAACAGAAAGGAGAATCAACCCAAGGATAGGAAAAAAGTCTTATTCAGAAGAAAAGTATTCACAACTTCTGAAAAAAACCAAGAGGTAATTCAAGACTTTGTTATTACTTATTATTAGGCAGAAAGCAAGGACTGTGAGATATAATCATTGTTTGGGAAACAATAGGCCACAAGCTTTCCAATGAATGACTTGAATGGACCAATAAAAAACCCGATGACACAAACAGAGAAAACAAGTAAACTTGATAGGGGGGGGGGGGACAAAATGCTTGGTCCCTTTCTGAAAGTGTAATTTCCATACAGCGCATGATCATGACGAGTCACTGGATGACAAGAAATGCGCATGATAAGGAAGATGGAAGGAGCCCCGGTTCTAAAAAATTAACACTAAAGCGATCAATATCAAGACAAAATTGACTTAAAGTGCATTTGCTTAGGCGTATTCCAAAAAAAAACGGAGATCATGAATCACCAGCCTGAAACGACCAGAATGATTTGTTACTGAATGGGTTTCAATTTTTTCCCACAATCCCTACCTTGTCTTGGCGAGACAGAAAGCCTTTACTATTATAGCACCCATTAATAAAGATTTATCCTTAGCAATGTAGTGGAAACACCAAAAGAAGATAGAGAAATCAAAATACGTGTGAAAGTAGGAATAGTGCAGATCAAAGTGGTCTTATCGTCGAAACGCCAGAATTCCATCCAAAATATAGTGTTCTTAAAGGTAGCAAACAGGAGGCGACGACCATTCCTAAATTACAAAGAATGCAGAGAAGCCAGTGATGCATGAGACGAAGAGCTAATTATTAGATTAAACTGGACACGTGCAAATGGCCAGGCGTGAGAAGACCAAAATAAGTCAAATTTTTGTAGCCTTTAACCATAATTGACTAAATAATGATACAGGATAAGATAATAATTGAAACAATAACCCCTATGTCCTGAACACTTGGCGCTAACTTAAAACTTAAAAATAACAACTAGCTTAGTACTGGACTTGCTACTATAATGAATAAGCAAGAACAAAACGAGACTTGAAAATAGCGACTGTTCAAAGAAAAGATTCAGATGACGTGAGAAGTAAACAGAATTGAAGTTGCCAAAGAGCATACTTGAGAAGTCTTCTTAATTATCTTTTAAGATCTTAACACCAGTGTAAAATCAAGCATATAAAAACATGACATTGTATCAAAAAAAAAACAGTGGTGTTCCAAACACCTCAAGAAGAGAATTTTGTTCCGAGAATTTACTCCATCGAATTTCATTGGAAAGAGATCCAAAAATCAGTCTGAAGACAATGACGTCATAAAAAGCATGATTGGCATTATAAAATCCATAAAACTTCGAAACAATTCCATAAACACAAATACATGTCAAGTACAAAAAATGCGATCGGTAACAATAATTACATGACCTGAGTCAAGTGAGGTGGTGGGGGTGGTTGTGATACAGTGGTTTATGCACACACCTTCCATATGTTAGAGGTGGGGTGTGCGACAGAATTACCTCCACGTTGTGCACCCTGGGCAACGTATACTCATACGGCAAAAAGGTCTATTAACCGGTAGTTGACTTTTGACTTCAAACTACCATCACCTCACTGTATGCCATATTCGACTACTTCCACATTACTCACCTCGCCTTTTTTCTACCTTTGTGTCTGTATCTTCTACATCTTTGAAACACTCTTGTTTCCCCAACCAACTCGACTTCACTTTGATGTTCCTTCCCCTCTGTGAAGTCTGAAGTCAACTAAAATGCTAATAATAACTATCAAAACGCCTGCCATTTGATATAAATAAATAAATGTTAGAAGTTATGGATGGCGTGGATGACCGGTAAATGAGCGATGAAAAAGAATGAACGTCGGAGATGGGTTTTCAATTAAGCGCGGCTCCAGGATACTTTTATCACAACCAAATCAAGTGCTGCTATTGCCTCTATTAGTGAGATTGGGAAATCAGACTGCTCTATAATGGTGGATATCTGGAATGATAGCAAAAAGGCAAACACCCTGAGTTCAGAGAATTGGATTAGTGATCTAAACATATATATATATTAGATGCGAAATGGGAGTAACGGGATTTGTTATAAATATTTAAAGCTACACCCACATACCTCAGATTCTATGAGAAAAAATAGGGCAATTAAGATATTACACCCAAACCTTAGCAAGTTAAACTAGTGCGCAAATTAGTATTCAGGTGATGCTACTAGGGCTTCAAAAGCCTAATCATAAACAGGGAGTTTAAATTTATATAAGATGTTGGAATAAAGTGGATGAAAAAATTACCCCCCCCCCCTCCAAACCCCAGATTTGAAAGCCCCGTGCTTCGGTTGCTTTACCTAGCATAATACATAGCAAAAAACGGTGAATCATTAAATATTGCACAACCCGTAGGCTAAATAAATGCATCTTCCTGACAAGGTCGATGGAACAAATAATAAAGTCGGAAAAGCGATCAGAGTAGAAACAGTCGGTTTTTAACTTCTGTCTCTAATAGCATGTACTTGTCGAAGAGTTCATTTTGAGTCCTAGTTTCACCTTAATTCGCTAGTTGGTCTGAGTGCTAGCGAGGTTGTTAGAGCTCAGCCAACTTCCAATTCCCCCCCCCCCAGAGCCTGAGATTTAACACAAGTATGGCACTCATTCTCACACACACACACTGTTTCGTTTAAAAGAAATCCTACTTGCCATTAATGACCACTTAGGATAGATGAAAAAGAACGGCAAAAATTAAAAGATGATGCAGAACTATTTAAGATGATATTGTCGAAAAGAAGGATCAGGCAATGGTAAGAAAGAGCCAAACTCACTAAAGTCAATGAGGAACCTTCCAAACGCCTGTTTTTGGTAAGGCGGAAGGATCATAATGCAACTGAGATTAAACTTTTGAGAACGTTTCTCCTTTGAGAAGTATCCCACGAGATGATAGCCCTCGCGTGGATCATGGATAGTGACCACATAGAAGAGAAATGGTTCCACGTCGTAGTAAAGGGTTTTATGGTCAAGAAAGAGTTTGGCGAGGATACAGAGCTGTTGACAGTAGAGTTTTGACATTTGACCATCCACTTCGAAGACGGAGATGTTGTCACAGCGGTAAATTTCGTTGCCAGGGGGATAGTAACATTGACATTTGGCCTGTTGGCGAATAAGTACGGTAAAGCAAGTTTACTCGAAAAAGGGAGTACAATATTGAAAGTAAAGATGACTATATACCATGTGTCGCTTGTACACATCTGCAGTTTTGAAGTACTTCAGGCAGTATTCACACACGTAGAGGAGGTTGAGGCTGAAGTAAAAAAATAAAAGAAATTAAAAAGGAAATGGACTAATGACAGTTCTGAGTTTAATGCTATTAATAGGTGCCCGTCCCTAAGCTAACTACGTACACTAAACTCAAGAGATTACGATTGAGTTCGCTTTGGTGTATTAGTGCTTAAGCGGTCAACGTATGTGTTAAGTGCAAACGCCAGTAACTATAGTTCGGGTTAAATGATAAAAAACGAGAAATTTCGTCTATTCGAATATCTGTAGAGCAGACAGGATAATATTTGGCCCTGTATAAGGATACAACCACTCATTTTCATGTAATAGGGAAAAAAGAAATCGGCCTTCCATGACAGATCACAATCGAGTTCACTTTGGTCTATCAGTATTTAAGCGGTCAACATATATAGTGATCAAATGAAATATAGTGCATCCTACCATCATAAAATCAACATGGAGAGGAAAAGATTCAAATGCTTGATAAAATAAGCCCAAAACAATGTCCATAATTGGTAGAATATGCCCCTCACACACACACACACGCGCGTGCGAGAAGTGTATAATAGTTTATCGGTGTGGTTGTGGATTAATGGGCAGAGATCACGAGTCCGATAACCATCGGCAAATAATCAATGAAAGATAAGATCAAGCAAATTTTCGGGTCCTATAATGTGGCATTTCTAACATAGGAATTTCAACCCTGGCACTTTTCTAACGGAGACGAGTGTTGGAGAAGAGATGAGGGTGAAATCACTTTGCTTCAAATTCCAGTCAGAAGTAGAAAGTTAATGTGGAATAAAGACGCTAAGCAATGCATTGAAAAAAGTGCATACTATTGTTATGGCGGCTTTCATAGTGTGTACCCAGAGCCGCCCAGATTGATCGCATTACCTCCTACCTCCTATAAGTTGATGCGGATGTATGAATCAGTCAAACGTGTGTTTGTGACCCCCTGCGGCTTCCATGCCTGTGCATGACAGAGTCTCATACGATTTCATACCTCGGGCCTAGTAGAATTTTGCGCAACATATGATACTAATTATGGCCGAATCAAAACAATAAATTAGACACTAAAGCTGGTTTTGTTTGAAAAAAGGCAAAATAAAAGGGAATTTGAAAAAAAACAAACGAATTGACCGAGAAGGGGAATTGCAAAGCGTAGCCAACAGTTGAGATAAACGAAAGCCTCTTTATATTTCAAGAATCTTCCTACTTTCTCATACATATGGATAAAACAGGGATTGAAACAAAAGTGAAATTAGTGATTATAACTGGCTGAATGGATTTATCTGAATACATACATTAACGCATTAACGAATTAAGGGCAACGCACTCATGGTAATTTGAGCACTCGTGAGTAATTGGTTTGTTAAACTTAATGAATAGAAGTATAATCTCATCACTACTCCAGCACTGGGAAATAAATAAATAACTAAATCACATTGACTCCATGTAATGGAATTACTTCCACAAGTTTAGTGAATAAACAGTCTTAAAGCGACAAATTTCGAACTTTTTCTACCCTTCTCAACTGGAATCCAAGTCAAAGACTGCGGAAAATATATGCATATGAAATAAGCTTCATTTTAAATAGAGGTGTCAATAGGAAGAAACGGGTTTCCGTATATTGTGGAAATTTTGTGTAGTTAGGAAACAACAATCGCAAGAGGAAGGAAAAAACAACAACCTTGAAAGTATTAAATCGAACACATCAAAAAAAGGAAACCAAAAATTACAAAAAAGACAGATGAAAATTTGAAGACGCAATATGAACTGCATAGTCATTGGCAAATAAGCAATCGTTTAAGAGAGGAAACGCTTCATTTCAAGGAATTCCAAGCCAAATGATTCACGCATGCTCAAAGTACTACAAGAGTTATTTACAATTGAAAATATCTGCGTGTTTAGAAGGTCTGATCACGATAACATCAAATTCGGACTCGGTTGGTAGTTTCAAAAGTACATGCACAACCTAAGAGTGTTTCAAATGGACACAGAGTGCGGGATACCTTCAATCTACACTGAATCTCAATAAACTTTAGTCTCGGTGTGTGTCAAGTGTAAACACCAGAAACAATGGTTTTAGTGAGATGGTAAAAAACAGGAAATCTCACCTTTAGATAGAGCAGCTGGACTGATATTTCGATTTATGCAAGAATAAAAACAACTCACTTCTATGTATTATGGAAAAAAATAGGTGGGCTTTCCTTATCAGACGATTAAAAGCGAAATCTATATGGAAATAAAACAAACATACTATCATTCATGACAAATTTTGAACACAGTTGTAGTCAAATCCAATCACTTTAACCGTCGAGAACATGAATGGTAATAAATGGTAGAAATAATTGGTCCAATTTCAACCATATTGGGCAAAGACGAAAATTCGAACGAAATACAATGGCTAAATCGATTCGATTGTGAAAACTATGAAATCCCTGGGCAAACTTCATCTTAACCTTCAGTAGTTAGAACGGACTCTACCGCGCACTACTACAGTGCTCAAATGCATGATAGGTACCAGATTGCCTCCATGGCTAATAGGATAGGGGGCATTCATAGTACGATACAATGTAATTTATGCCAATTATTTGTGGATCTCATAAACGACAATGTATGCTGAGGATCATTAGTTGGGTAAAACCAACACCCCAAAATTTCTGAAAGACACTCTATCACACATCTATTGAGCCATATCGATGTGTATGCGCGTAACGATACACACCAAGATCTATTTATAGTCGTACCAATGAGAGAAAATAAATATTTCCGCAACATTCCATCCATGACAACGAAATACATTTTCGTTGAGAAACATTCAAACTCAAAAAAAAACGAGGTTTATTTAACCAATGAATAACTAGTTATATTACCCATCACCTCCCTTAATGCAAGTCGGGAAGCACTTTTACCCAAAAAAAGTGTCGGTGCTTGCTACTATTTTAGCGATGCGAAGAGATTTCAACCATGAAATAAACTTTTAAAAAAATTGACCAAATAAAAAAACGAAATAGTGAACATAAACGATCTGAGATTCAGTTACAAAGTGTATCTTCAAAGGGGTGCGGGAGTCTCTTTGACAGATGAACGTGCATTTTACATTTACTTCATTGGCACAATTACTGAAATGTGATAAATGGGTTTCAAATTTGTGACCCCAAATTTAGCCGATTTGTATACTGAATCACACCAACAGTTAAATAGAGTCAATTAGCATCCTAGTGCCTTCCTTCACCTCCTTAAAAGTATTGCCCTTTCATAAATACTCCCTCAATATCATTTATTAACCGAATTAACACATATCGAACCCTATTGTCCAGTCCAAATGTCTTCACTCTTTAAACATGGTACAAAATTAGTGCTTTTTTCTCTACTTTCTCTGAAATATAAATTTATACACTAAGGCTTTTATAGGCGAAGCGATTCTTCTACAATGTGGTCAAGATAAAAGAGATGTGTTGAGTTGTGTCAGGAAGTCTACGGTGAACACTCCCAATATTTGACTTGAACTGTGGAATGCTCAGTGAGAGTTAATAATCGTAGGACTCTGCATTTACTACTTTAAAGAGACATAATACCAATTTACCTTTCTGTATAATACGTAAGGGACTTTCACCTTGTCCTATACGATCTCTGCTTAAAAAAAAGGATCAAATCCATGAAAAACGCCGAAAGAGAACAAATGGATGCATTAAGAAACTAAGCACGTTAATACTTCCAATGCTACCCCATTAAGATTGTAATAGATCAACTCTGTTAAATTGAAAAGTCATAATGGCAGTACTAAGCAGGAAAGTGTATACTATAGGTTTAATGTAACTGTCCAATCTAATTAAATATGGGCCAGTTTTTCACTAAGACATTTTAATTTGACTGACGAAGTACATTTTCGAAGACCGAAAAAGGTGACAAGCATAATGAAGCAAAAGTAATCCATTTGGTACGAAAGTCGATTTGAGAGGCTGTTCAAGAAGTCCGGTCAAAAAAAAACATGGGTTGTGAATTAGTTCACACAAGTCAAAATGCACACAAAGAGAAGTGAAGAGCGTGATTATGTACTGAATTCAAGACATTTCCACGCACGAGAAGGGAGAATCACGTGATTTGTTAATTGTCCAATCAATGTGAGGGATAGCAATAAAAACATACAAACGGAAATACCAAGTAGAATGAGAGGGGAAAAAGAAATATATCATTTCTAAAGAAGCTTATATTTCAGTATGATTCATTTCAAATCAGCATACACACTATACCTTCTTTACGTATAAGCCGGCTCATGAAAAAAGCTAAGAGGAGTGTGCTATAGACTTGCCTTCACGTGGAGCACCCTAGGCAACGTATACTCGTACCGCAAAAGTCTATAAGCTGGAAGTTGACTTCAAAATACCATGACCCGACTCTATGTCATAATCGACTGCTTCCACAGTACTCACCTTACATTTTCTCTACCTTTATATCTGACGCTTTTACATCTGTTCCCCTTCTCCACATCTTGTGACTTTGATGTCCCTCCCTTCTATGAGGCCCGAAGTCAACTAAAGGGCTAATGATAACTATTAAAAAGCCTGCCATTTGATATAAATTGATACATGCACTTTTAAAGAGTGTTCGGAATAGACTTTACAGAACACTCTGATAATTTTCCAGGACTCCACATTAACAGGAGAATGCGATTGAGACATAAGAGACAATCTGAACCAACAGAGCTCACCGTAGATTTCCTTCACTAAATTGGCTCAAACCGTCATGTTACTTATACGCTATTGAGGATGGTGTATGTTGCTCCCCTTCCTTATTTCTTTAAAGAGGGTCTTATTGAATTCGGATGACTATGTGGAATTATTGACCACTACGGTAGCTTGGGCCTGGATAACGAAGAGTAACCAAATGTATATCATGTGTCTGTCGGCAGTGGTATTCAAAAAGTTCACTGCAACCCATCAGATAAAGGCAAATAATGGTTGTGAACCAAATTTAAAACCACACAAGTCCCAGTGTATGTTTGGTCTCCCAACTCTTCAGATCTTAACTCAGTGGAGTATTATGCAGGAAATGATGGCGGATAAGATACCAACTGCTATGCCAGTTAATGGAGACATTGAAATATTAAAATGCCAAGGCTTCTATTTTGGCTCAGACACGCCAGGTCAACGCCATGACCTATTCGGGCATTGTCATGTTTATTCAACCACATACAATTCCATTATACCCTAAAGCTATGCTAAAAAGCGTCTATTAGTGCGTGGAGTTTCTTCCCTATTTGACTATTGGTCAACTTAAGGATACAGACACCTTGTTAGCCGCCAAACTAAAAGCTAAGAGTAGATTAAGCTCTGTTAGAACCAATTCAGTCATCCCTACTGCACCAAAGAACAAATTCTAATTGAATTACTCCAGTCTCTATGACAGCACATATACTAATTTCCTTTAAATTTGCATCTTAAGCTTAATATAAATATTTCACGACATGTTATTATATAAAAAGGTTTAAGGCATCATCGAAATTAGATTTTTTGCAATAAAAATAGGTAGACGGATAAAAGTACAACCAGCATGAACCCTAAAACACAGAAAAAAACTGCTTCGGATTTCTCTGCATACGAAACGAAATTGGGTATAGGAGAATGGTTGTTTTCACTTACAACCTCATTAAGCACGGAGCAAAATGATTGCATAAATGACCAAACAGAGAAATAAAGGAAACAACAAACATGCTTTAAGAAAATTCGAATAAGAAAGTAAACAAACTTTTAGTAAAGCATGAAAAAGTCCAGAAATTAATAAAGCCATATTACCAAGGATATTGTCATTTAATTTAAATAGAGGAGTGGAAACAAGGTACCAAGTCCATGAGGTTATGAAGCAATTCCAACCCCCTACATACAGGTATAGTGAGATATACCCCTTAGGTATGCATAGTAGATAATTACTCCGTAAATTATCATCAAGCAAAACACAAAAAAATTCCTCACCGAGCATATTCCGAGGGATAGGGAGCAGAGTACCAGGTCTCGATACAGTACTTCCCAATTTGAATTCTAGGCGGACATCGAGGTTGAGAAGGAGAGAGCTCTTTGAGAGAATGGACTACGGAGGTCCTTTTCGACAATTTGTCGCCGACAGACGCTGTGGAGTTATTCAACAAAAGGGGGTTGTCTGTTGGGGGAAGTTGGGTACTATTCTCCAGCGCCTGGGGTAAGCTCTTATAGGAGGAAAAAATTCGAATTAACTAACCACTTTCTATAGAGAAATATCAACCAACGGAGGACAGGATGACTAGAGCAATTCATGATTAGCTTTAAATTAGTTAATGGAATAATAAATGGATACTTAGCAATGTTAGTTATCTTTAGGTTGAGTAGAAACTGTCTGGATCCAGTTTTCAGCTTTAGTAAAGTGCAAATATAGAAACTAGACGGCTTGAGTTTTACAAACAAACATTAAACAAAGTGATGGTTTGAAAAACTAACGAGCTAGTTGAGTATAACGAATCCGTCAGTATTTGTACTATCAGCTAACCGTAGTTAGAAACTACCCCTGCTTAAACCCATATAAAGCGCCACAAAGAATCAAGAATTGATCATTAAGAACGCACAAATGGAAGCAAAGTAATAGAAAATCATATCAACTTAATTTGTTCATCTCTACCCACTAACAAAAAAAACCAATTTTTGAAGAAAAAAATTGGCATTACCGGTCGGTACCCGTCATTATATATACCAAATCTTCCTATCTTAAACTCCTCCGCCAAAACGTGGAACACCAAGTTAACCACTTCCTTGCACGGCGATTGTCCTCGTAATGTACTAAGATCCATCGTTCTGATTAAATTAAGTTGAATGTTTAAAGTGCTTCCAAATGAATGAGACAGAGCGGACTATTTATGCGATTTACTGTCAGTATATTAAGTGAGAATTATCTCATTCATAATTAAGTATCCAGGTTTGGTATTGTAAATACCTTGAATGATTCAAAACCTGCAGACGTGGTTGTGCTAATCCCGTTAAATCATTTTTTGCCACCACATATTTGTTGAAAAACTATTTCCCAACTGTGTTAAACATTCATCATACTATATCTGGGATAGTGGTTTATTTTTTCATCAATAACAATTCTGAAAACTAGATATTTAATAGTTATAATTACGAGTTAAATTTTGACGGGTCACGAAATAACTGGCGTCCTCTATAAATGACACCACCAATAAATAAATCCCCAATAAAGTGTGGATCCGAGCAGTCTTAAGTAACGCATCTTAGGCCCGACTTCAAAATAAACGATTACCAACAATTGAACAACATGATCGATCTTACCTTCTGAACTTGCGACTGAACACTCTTGAATAGTCCTCGATCATCATCCACAATTGATTTAAAGCGCCAATCCTCATCTACTTCATCATCTTCCTCAGATTGCATTTGCTGTGGTTCTTCAAAAGACTGCCGATTTTCTTCCTTTACTGGTTCAATGAACTCCAAAAGAGACCCTTCAACAGGACTATCGGTAGTTTCTAATGCGATTGTAGTAGACGAAGGACCGTGACTTGCCCGACGGGAATACAACTGCCGTCTGGAAACTGATGTAACTGAGGCGTGACCATTGGTTAAATGCGACTTCTTGAGGAGTTGACTTCGACCGCGTTTGCGACCTCGTTGTGAATGTGATTGGAAAGGAGTGTCTGATTTGTAACTGGGGGTAGTTTCCGGGGCTTGGGCTGAGAGATAAATCGACATTTAGCAACAACCCAAGTAGTGAATGTGAACAAATTATTAAGCTTGTAAAAGTAAACAGTATTGAGTGCATACTGGCTCATACTTCCGAACGTCTTACTTGTCAGTTGAGAGTCTTATCTGTTATGAATCAAAGAAGGGTGCGAGAATGCCAACTCCCTCATCAGTCCTTAATAGACCCCCATTTGTTACGCTAATCCTCATTCATTACCATTGCTGATTATTCTATCCCCCCATAATTTAAACAAAGACTGCTCAACACATTGTGATTCAAGTTAAACTCTTGGCCTCCTATTGTTGCATTTATTGGACTTTCAGGAAATTAGTGAAAATGCGAAAACAAGTCCAATTCAAAGAGACTGTTAAAGTAGCTTAATTGTCTAGATTATGGGGTGTGTGATAGACTTACCTCCACATGGTGCACTCTGGGCAAC